GCAAGAAGTGTTTGATACAAGGATATTTTCCTGATCAAAGTTCACTGTTTTGTATTAAAACAAAAGCTGTATTCACACGAGAGACAGTCGGTGAACTTTAAGTTTAGGTCATAATTATAAAGTTTGAGGTTATCTTGTAAGTAAGGAACCGTGTGGATAAAGCTTTACTCGAGGTCATTAACAACTAATTATTTTAAGGTTAGTGTAATAAATTTGAGCAGCCTGGGGTCCTTATAATATTACATGTATGTATACCTTGCGGATGAAATTACCTCTAAATTTAATACGCCAGCTTGTAGTTAAAGCTTATCTGCCGTAGTTTACAGGAGGGATTAGACCGCCCTGCAAGGTCACTGGACAGGTGGTTATCTCATCAACTGAGCTCTCAATTAACATAAGAAAAAGAGAATCATGGGGGACCAATGGTCACCGATTATGCATTATTTGTTATATAGAGGGCGCAAGTAGCTACCAGTAGTGCAGTGGGCCTTTAAATGACTGCTTGCTCAGCCTGTAGTTTAAAGGTTTGAAACTTTGAATACTTGTCGTTTCTGTCCTGTGTTAGCCCTCGTCGTTGTTTGTAACTTCAAGGTTTCTAAAACTTAAAATTAGTTACGATGCTCCCATGTGAACATACATGTAGCTACTAATTACTTGTGGTATCTTTCATCCCTTAGCTAACAAAATCACAGCAGTTACATACTGTAGACAAAGAAATAGATTGCAAGTTATCTCTTTGCGCAAAAGATAAACAAAGACAGATTATTTTAGGAAAAATATGCTACAAATAGAACTTCAACAAACACCAAATGGACGTGTTTAGGTACAAATAGAGCATGAGTACATAATACAAGTATATTTCTATCCGTTTTGGTCAACTTACTTTTTTTTAAAGTTATATAAGTGTACATTGGAGGTTGAATTTAATTGTTCCCTTCCTCAAAAACTAAAAATAAAAGTGGCTTCTTGTGGCTTTAGGATTTATTTAGTCAAATATATAGGGTTTGAGTTATGTTTGCAACTACATGTAGGGTTTTTTAGTTGCTTTTAAAGTGAACCAAGCACCTGAAAAAAGTAATTTGTGTATACATGTAGCTACAATATGTGCTTTTTTCACAAAACTACTCAAATCTGATAGTTCTTATCCATTTGCCGATATAGAGAGTTTGTAAAGTTGCTGTCGTTTAAAAAAAAATGGTATAATAATGATATGTATCTCAAGAACTACATTGTACACATGTACATGTATTATCTAACTAAGATATGAAACGAGAGCTTAATATAATCTAAAAATGTCAGTCATGTACGGCTGTCTTGACTTTGGCAGAAAGCCAAATACAGTATCTTGTGAATCAGCATGATTCACAGATTATTATCTCAACTACCTAAACATACCTGTACGTATATCTACAGGTGCTTCAAATTGCGGCAAAAACATGCGTTCCTGTACGTGCTTATAAATGCCACATACAGTTTTATTAGGTTTTGACTTTCCCTATATATTTTTTCGTCATGCCAATAATTTGTTAACGTTTTTGTTTTTCACTTCATTTCTATTACCTAAATTATCTTAATCGAAAAACATTCTACAACTATATGTACCTGTACATGTAGATGTAGGTCATGTACGACTGTCCTGACCTCGGCAGATGGCCACATATCTTGTGAATCAACATGATTGCACATTAGGCTTGTCCTCATCAGCTCAAGATTGCCAAATAGCCGGCTATTTCTGATTTGGGAAATAATCCAGAAGTTGCAAATCGCGTCCTCATCAGCTCGAGACTTGACCTCGAAACTTGAAACTCGAGCTCAAGAAATTAGCTCAAGATATTTTGCCCAGCATTCGCGCATAGTGCGACTGCTAGTCTTCGGGATGGTGAAGACACACCAGACAAATAGCGGGATATTTTGCATACTAGCCCAAGATATCTTGGGATGGTTATCTCAACCAAATATCCCGCTAATTGCAACTTTGGACTGATAGAGACGCAAATTAAGTAGATAATTCACGATCGGGATGGTTCAAATAGCCAGATATTTGGCAATCTCGAGCTGATGATGACAGGTCTATTGTTATCAAGTACCGGAATGATCAGGTATCATAAGTTTTTAAACAAACAGGAGAACATTTGCCAACAAACATCTCTTCCAAACCGCAAAAAGCAAATAGATCTTTCTTTTTGAGGAGCTACTTGAAGATGAAGCATTGTGTATCCATGTGATGGTGTCCTTGTCTCTCTGACCAAGGTGGTAGTCTGCAAGAACAGACTCTGGTTTTAAGGTCTTGCATAATATATGTACAAACACTTGTGTGTCTAGAGTCAAGACTAAGCCAGATCTCAAGTGGCTGCATAAGATAGGACAGGCAGGAGCAGCTATAATTGCAAGGCATTAATCTACATGTGCCACACCCTACCCAGGATAGAAATGGGGACCTGGTAGGATGATGAAAGCCTTCAATTGCCATATGCCCTCACGGTGACCACACAGTAGGAATACTCCCCAGGGAGTGGAGATGGTGCACATTTGTGATTGAATGAATCCAATGACCGGGGTAAATTTATCTGTTAATGAATAAAGATGGTACATTAATCCAGATTATTATTACGCAGTGATAGAAAAATAAAAGAACGATTTGATGTTGAAAGACACCATAGGTTTATGCCACTCAAAACAGGTGTCATATGGTAGGTCCATGGTATGTCCATCTTTTTTTCTGAAGTTTTTGACACAGTCGGACATGCTTGCCTGTGACACCCTGGGGAGCCCCTGGGGAGCCCCTGGGGAGGTATGATCAGACATCTTACATTTCAGAATAAACAAAGGGAAATGTTCCAGCAAATAGCTCTCGAGATGGGCGTCAACAAATACTCGAGATCAGCTGTTTGTAGACCAAGCTTTCTGCATCCACGAAGAGACCCCTGGGGCACCTGTCCTGTCCAATATAAACACTACTTACATGTATGTACATTATGTACATGTATTGGTCACTTCACATGTTACAGTGATGCAAATATAAGCCCTGTTCACACATACCTGGACATGCTTTTAATAATCCATCGCAGCTAAGAGATTTCTTATTTTCTAAATTAATCATTTTCCAGTCCTCAGATTGGCAACAATTAATCTTATTTTCCAATCCTTCATAGTTTGAAGAAGGATTTTTTAAAATGCAAAACAGTAAAAGAAAAAAGTAAATTTAACTGAAGAATTGCAAATTTGTACACAGAAAAATAGTGATTTATGAGATTTTAATGATTAGTTACGATTAGATCGCTCTCATTCAAGAACAGCACAATGTATTGCAATGAAAAAAGACTAACAATTATTTGTGATTTTTGCTCTTTCTGCTAATATCAGGGATGCCAGTTTTCAGGCAAAAGCCTGAATTCAGGTCCTGGCGAGTTATTTCAGACCATAGTTTAGGCTTTTTTGTGTACAAAATAGCTCATTCTACATGATTTTCAGGCCCTCTGATCAATTATAACTGACATGCCTGTAATATACAATGCACATACACGTGTATAATGTAAATTCCTATCATTCTGAATGGATAGATATTGCACAAATATCACCAAAAGGATAAACTGTACTACACATGCAATGTACAATGTAGGAATGGTTCGTTTTCCTGCACAATTTTTGTTGTTCCCAGTTGTTTCCAAAGTTATATCTGAAACGGGATGATTTGTTTAATGCATGGCCCTTGTGTACAAAGAGGTACTACAATTGGACGCTACAAGTGTCCATGTAAACGAGGGAAAGTCCTACTGTAAATAGCTACTGAGGAGGCTTGAATTCTAATAAGAAGTGAACAAAAACACCCCTCATATATTCTCTTGAGGCCCTTTTTTTTCCTTCTGTAAAAGGAAGATTTTGGACACGTGTGTACAGTATGTATTTTATCCTTTGTTGCCAGAGCTTTTTTTTGTTTACTTGTTTGTTTCCAAACAGCTTTAGGAGCTTTCAAGAGAGAAACTGCTTTCTTATTTTTTTTAATTTTTCACCTACAGATGTTCATGTACATGTATATTTTGTGTGATATTACAGATCAGCTACTTAATATAGAGCACTCTTCGTCGACTAGGCTTTATATACAGGGCTTCAAAACAGGACTATTTTCTATGTTTTCATTTAAAATGTGATTTTTAACTTTGGAGATAGAGAGTGAGAGAGAGAGAGAAAGAGAAAGAGACAGAGAGAAGAGGAGAGACTGAGAGCCAGAGAGAGAAAGAGAGAGAGAGACAGGGAGATAGATAGAGAGATAGATAGAGAGATAGATAGAGAAAGAGAGAAGAGGAGAGAGACAGAGAGAGAGAGGGAGAGAGAGGGGGGGGGGGTATGTTGAAAACCAAAAGTGCATTAACTCATATTTTTAACACAGAGTCGAGACCCTTGTGACTATGAAACAGACAACAAATAAAGTTTCTCAACAATCAATATTCTAGGACAGTAGTTTGCAAATGAAGCCCAAATTACTGAAGAGCTTCTGCGTAAATAAGATTGGTTAAATTTATTCATTAAGTTATTTGGGTATCTTATCAGTATTAACATTACCTTCAACTCTTCAGGTGTCTGTCTGGACAGTTGGCAAGGGTCAAAGAACTTATGATGTCTGGAAAAGTTTAACACACTTTATAATAGTTTAATATACAGGTAACGACTAAACTATTCATACCCTGTAATTTGTTAGATGTCACCCCCCAGAAAATGTGTTTTTGAAGACAAATATTGATTAAAAAAAATAATAATTTGGGTTTTCTCTTGTACGCATAAAACCTAAATTGTGTATTCTTTCATTAATATTCGACTTCAAACACATTTTGGGGGAAAAATCCTTGCAGAAATGTGTCTAAAATGACACCCTTTTTCGCATTATGATACAATTTAAGTGAAATTTTGCCATCAAGTTTTAAAGGCTCCCAACGCTTTAGAGGGGCTTTATTCGCAGTAGAGTACATGTATGTTCACATGTAGTAGCTGCGCTGTACATATAAGGGACATACATGTATTTTGATTTTCCTTGCTCTGTTCTCACTCCAGGCAACAGTAGCATTATTTGAGATACAATATAACGAAACCCATATTAAACTAATCACCTTTTCCTGTCTCCCTTTCTCCTCCTGTTTCAGGTGGCCATTAAAATCATCGACAAGACGCAACTAGAGGGCGATAACATCCAGAAGATCGTCCGTGAGGTCAAAGTGATGAAGCTCCTAAGTCATCCACACATCATACGGCTCTACCAAGTGATGGAGACAGATAGATACATGTACCTTGTTACCGAGTACGCCAGCGGAGGGGAGATATTCGGTAAGATCCAGTGGCGATTCTCACCCCCTGTCCACACACAACATTTTCTGTGATTAGGCGTGATTAGTTATACCGTTTCGTGATAGTTTTACGATGAAATTGTGTGTGTGTGGACGTTCACTAATGATACGTCGTATAACAAAACTAGTCTAACAAAACGCAGGTTTGGGCATCGTTTCGAACAGAAACTCAATAACTAATCACGCCTAATCACAGAAATTTTGTGTGTGGACGAAACTAGTGTAACTAGTGTAAGTAACTGGGCGGGGCTTAACGTGACCTCGAGCGAAAGGAGACCAGACCTCTCATTTCCGCTTCCATTTCATGACCGCAGTAGCAAACTGCGCACCTATACGACATTTCGCTGTAGAGTTTAAGGATTACAGTACTTTCTTCTGTGTGTGGACATCCAGGAATTTATACGATGATTATTTATACGACGTTTCTTGTGTGTGAACACTCTGAAATTAAGTTGGACCAGGGCCCTGTCATATGAAGAGTTGATATTAATCACAAATTATTTACGATTGATATTAATTGCAACTACTGTATGTACAATGTACATACAAATGAAAGAGATAGAGGACTGCAACCTTGCGATTGATTTGGATCAATCACAACTCTTTACAAGATGGCTCCCAGAAATAACCGTTATTAGTCAATGGTCATATCAGGAGATGTTCTTTTTTGGAGGAAACAAATGGCTGATACTGGATACATTGCACAGAATCGCTCATCAACAACTTATGCTCTGGTGATAAATACTCTGTTGTTTATTTCATTCATGAATCATGAGTACCTTAATTAACGTTGTATAAACCGCCCTCGTGTATTAACCGCACCCCTCTTTTTCAAAAAAAAAAAAAAAATGCTGAGATTTTTTCTTTTGTGTAAGATTAAAAAACAGTAGAGGACCGAGGATAGAACCTTGTGGTATGCCATGTAATAGAAGAAAAATTGGGGGAATTATTACTATATAAACTACATATTGCAATCTATCAGAAAGATTACTTTCAAACCAATATGACAGACAAATTTGAGTGTTGTTCTAGTTTCCGAGTGGTGAGTCAACACACTGATTACTGAGCTGGGAGACATAGCCAGGCATAGCGCCTGGTGCAGGGGCATAAATCGAAACTTTAAAAAAATAAAAAAATTATACTTCAACCCTGCCCCTGTCAATCCATGCTTTTTCTTTGTCGTCTTTTTAACATATCTAGATCATCTTATATCGCACGGTAAGATGACTGAGAGGGAAGCTCGGCAGAAGTTCAAGCAAATCGTTGCGGCCGTCCATTACTGTCACAAGCGAGGCATAGTACATAGAGACCTGAAGGCTGAAAATCTTCTTCTTGATGCCAACATGAATGTTAAAATAGCAGGTGAGGATTTTCTCCGTCTATTTTCTATTTTGTGTTTCAAGCCACACTGTACTACTTGTACCTACTTGCTCCCTCTACATGTTTATAGAAAACTTCCCCAATTGGTGCCTGTTGGTCCCCCATGATCCTCTTTGTCTTATGTTAATTGAGAGCTGAGTAAATGAGATAGCCACCTGTCACAGTGACCTCGCTGGCTTGCTGGGTGGTCTAATCCCTTCTGGCTGAACTAGTACAGCCGGCCTTTAAATAGTAGAGGTGTTGTGGTAGAGTGGTTTAAGCACTTGAAATGAATTTGAAAGGTTGTTGGTTAATCCCCCCCCCCCCCCCCCCCCCCACATGGCACTGGTGTATTTTGGCAAGGCATTAATCTACATCTGCCACTCCATACCCAGGAGAGAAATGGGGATCTGAAAGGATGGCGAAAGCCTTTGTGTTAGTAATTTCAAGGTGTCCATATGGTAGGAATATTCCCCAGGGAGTGGAGATGGTGCACACTGCATGGTGAATGAACTCATTGACCAGGGTAACAATATCTGTATAGAGACAGTATTTGTTGTTAAGCGCTATATAAATCCAGATTTTTATTTAATTTTCAGCTATTTGATTTTAAACCTCTCAATGCCTAAAGTCCTTCCAGCACAACCCACCCTAAAAAAACCAGAGAGGAGAGTCTAAACATTGTGTTGTTTTTTGGGACCATGGACCAAGAACAGCCTGAAATCAGCCTGAAACATAAGATCTTCTATGTACACTGTACATGGCTGACTACTATGCCTGTGTTATAGGAATGGTGCCTTTACAGATTAAAGTGTACCTGCCAACTTTTCATAGCAAAAAATTAGAAACAGAGTGCAATTTGTGTACTATTTGTGATTCAAATGGAATGGCTACTTTATGCTGGCCTTCAAACTAATAAATAAAACCTAGATTCTTTCTTTTTACTCTGAACTCTTTTGAGTCAAAGTACACAAATTGCACTCTATTTCTCATTAATTCCTGAGAGGTTTTCTTGATTAAAAGCAACTTAATATCAGGGTGGACATACAGTATACCCTTTAAGTGCAGTGTACTGCTATCATAATGTTGTGACAATTTTTTGTTGTAGGTGCAAACAGCCTTGTGTCGAATGAAGTTTAATCCATAATTTCTTTCCTTGGCACCTCGATCCGCAAGTTTCCCCCACTGTGTTTGGTCATAGGCTGTGATTTTGCTTGATTCCATGTTGAATTTCCCTCTTCTTTTTAAGGTCATTGTTCTATTGTTCTGCTCCATGTAGTAATTGATTTTCTTCTCCTTTTTTCCCTCCTGTCTAATTGTTTTATTAAATATTTTTTTAATTGAAAATTGAATATAATCTACATGCTGAATAGACAGCTCTTATTTATAACAGGGAATTTACAATTTACAAGCTTATCTTTTTACTAGATTTCCCCATATTTCACTACAGGTATATTTGTCTAATTTCAATTTAAATACCATGCAGTTGTATTTATATCTCTGTATGTTAAAGGTAAAGACCAGTATTGGTAACGCCCCAATTTCAAAAAAATGGAATGGAAGCTCTATTACCAATCATTCATGTGAAAGAATATGTTTTGACTAATACATGATGATAACAAATTTGCCGGGAAACCGCCTACTAATTGATATATTTGGTAAATTAGTTGATCTACACGGTCTGTGAGAGATATTTAACGCACGTGTCGTGCACGTGTGTGTATAGTCCCATATACATCTTTCTGTGTACGGTGCTTGTAACTTTACGAAGACTGGGCCAAATTTCTTATCATTTTGATGTTTCCAGAACCTTGCAGTACACACCCATACTTAAATGCTAGATGATCAATTCCGATTCCACGACGTTTCTGTCACAATGCAATCGCATGATCATAACTGGTCTTTACCTTTAAATCGACTGTATTATTACTTTCATGGCCTGATATTATTGTACGTATTTTTTAATACACCTATTGAAAGAACAGTTTTTTTCATTCTTATTGTTAATGATTTATGTACAGAATGTGAATGTGAAATATGACATACACCTAAACTGAAAACTGATACACAACTAAACTGAAAACTGAAACTGAAGTGTGTGATATTTTCCTCCCCTATCTACCTTCTTTCTTCGTCTTCCTTCCTTCTTTGCAGATTTTGGTTTCAGTAATTTCTTTGAGAAGGACCATCTACTGAAGACATGGTGCGGGAGTCCTCCCTACGCCGCGCCAGAACTCTTTGAAGGCAGGGAGTACAACGGTCCAAAGGCTGATGTGTGGGTAAGTCCGTAGCACACTGAGAGGGACAGTTGCGACATGATCAGGCATGTGCACTCCAATGCCAATTCGAGGAGCTCTAAATCGTTCTCTCCTACATACAGTCTCTATGGAAGGGATTTGTTTTAGCACTTAGTGAATTTGAGATATTTGTCCCGATTCTTGTTTCTATTATGTTTGTATTTCGAAATGTAAAGCGCCTTGAGCATGTTCATGTAAAGGCGCTCAATAAATACCAATATGTATGTATAAGACTAAAGCATAACACAGCACTGATAACCAGATCACGCCGACATCCGCGCTCGCGCTCATAGAAGATATACACAGCGCAGCCCGAACGTGATCGTTAGTTCCCCCCCCCCCAATCTACGGGCTACTACCCCAATCCTTCGGTGGTTCGCGACCTCGTAGTCCATCCAGAAAAATTTACTCCTAATTTCTCTTGTCTCAAGTTGGCAGGTATGGGTATCCGTATGAATAATTCAGTTGTTCACTAACTAACGAGTTATTTGTAATGACTAACAAAAGAATCTAAATAATTTTTCTAAAGGAGAGTACCTTTTTTTTGTGCAACTGTTATCATACACGTATTTGGATGAACTGGAGCTAAAAGATCTAGGTCACTTACCTTTGAGGAGAGAGGATAAGAGAGGGAAAGATAGAGATAGGGAGAGAGAGAGAGAGAGAGAAAGGGGGGAGGGGCTTTTAATGAGAAGACTTTTAATACACAAATAAAGAAATTTGTGTTATTGAAACGTAGATGTGTTCTATCTGGATCAATGACTACATGACATTTCATTGTGTTTTTTTCCTCTGCAGAGTCTGGGAGTAGTATTATATGTATTAGTATCTGGTGCTTTACCCTTTGACGGCAAGACGTTACACAACCTACGAGCCAGGGTGTTATCGGGACAGTTCAGAATACCATTCTTTATGTCAGAAGGTAAGCCTTGGTGCTTAATAGTAAGTGCTAGTGTAGTGCTAAAACACCTCAATAGCGTGTTAATTGAGCGTATACCAGTGATATCAGTGGGTTACACAACCTACGAGCCAGGGTGTTATCTGGACAGTTTAGAATACCATTCTTTATGTCAGAAGGTAAGTCTTGGTGCTAAGTACAGTATAGTGCTAGTGTATTGCTAAGACACCTCAATAGGGTGTTAAATGAGCGTATACTCTGTGCTCCGTCAGTCATTTGTGGAACAGTGTAAAGTATGAAACTACATGTAGCATGCATGAAATATATGATTAAGTTACGCAGCACAAGAGCCAGGGTGTTACCAGGCCAGTTTAAAATGCTGTTCTTTGTATCTGAAGGTAAGTCTAATGTGCTTAGGTAGTGCTAGTGTAGTGTTGAGTTGCCTTAGAAGCATGGTAATTGAGTGGATACCATTAATGTCAGTGGGTTATTTTGCGATAAAACTAATCAAATACTTGGTACACACAATGAAGAAAGGCGAAAGCATACCCATACATTATGCAATTAAACAACAACTTGCAGCAACGAATGGAAATAAAGCCAAGTTCATCATAACATAAAATCTACTGCAACTTGGTTATATAATAAAAAGGCATTGGAAAATGATAGTAGGAAAAAAATCCAAAGGGGCTGCTGATATTTGTCTTTTATCGCTACAATGATAAAATACAAAACAATTTCTTTGAAAATGAGATACACAGGCAAAAATGGTGTTGATTTTTTTGTTAAAATTGCCAGTTTTTATTGGATGGATGGATGCCATTGAAATATTGAATACTGTAGTGCGGTATGATAAAAAATTGTCAGCAAAGTTGAATACAGCGATATGAAATGTTTTTAAAGAGCAAACAAAAAACGGACAAGTTTCTGAGAAAGATATGAAAGAACAAAAGAGTAGGTTGAATGGATTTGGATGAGAAAGAAGATTAATTTCTATGAAGTCTTTTGAATCGGAGAATCACAACAATTGCTTTTATCCTTCACCAAAATTTAAGACCGTTCACGTATGTCGCAAAAACCACAGTTCCTTTGTTTGTTTGTGTGTGTACTATAAAATGAATGGCAAATGGGATGAAAAAAAAATGATTGTGTTCAACTATTAAAGGTCTAACACCCACTCACTTTATCTGTATGGTGTTAGATACAAAAATGTTAAGGTGCAGTATGCTTTGAAAGCTCCTGTGTTAAACGGCAGCATTTTACTACATGTGAACAAGCCTTAAAGGTAAAGATCAGTTTTGGAAACGCCCCCCTCTCAAAAAATGAAATGGAAGCTCTTATCACCAATCATGTGAAAGAATATGTTTTGACTAACACGTGATGATACAAATTTTGCAGAGAAACAGCCTACTAATTGATATATTTGGTAAATCATTGTTTCTATTTGGACCTGATAGATATTGCGCATGTGTCACGCACTTGTCGCGTAGTCCCCATGTACATCTTTCTGTGTACAGTGCTTGTAACTTTACCAAGACCTGGCCAAATTTCTTATCATTTTGATGATTCCAGAACCTTGCAGTGCACACCAATACTCATATGCTAGATGATCAACCTTTTCTGATCAATTTTCACAACAATTCTTTCACAGTGCAATCGCATGAGCATAACTGGTCTTCATCTTTAAGAGTTTTCATAACCTTTCAGGGACAGTAGATGATCTTTTCTAGAACTTGTTTTGATATTGAGATACAAAATATAAATCACTCTTCCAAAGTATTTACTTAAATAACAAAAGCAAAGAGGAGAGTACCTTTTTGCAAAAGTGCAACCCTACTCTTCGATCAACTGTAAACCAAAAGTGTGTTTGGATGAACTTGAGGTAGAAGATAGGTCACTTGTCTTTTAGGAGAGAGGGTGAGAGAGGTAGAGAGAGAGAGAGAGACAGAGAGGGGTAGAGAGAGAGATGGGGTAGAGAGAGAGAGGGGGACAGGGAGAGAGAGAGAGAGAGAGAGACAGGGAGAGAGGGAGACAAGGAGAGAGAGGGAGAGAGACAGACAGAGTTAGACAGAAAAGAAGAGAGAAATCCATTTATTAGATAGAGAGAGGGAGGGGGAGGGGAGCGAGATAGAGAGTCAGAAACAGAAGAGAAATTTGTGAACTCCCTCTCCCCCCCCCCTGGTAGAGAGAGAGAGAGAGAGAGAGATATATATATATATAGATATACAGTATATATATATATATATATATATATATATAGGACACAAGGTAGATAAATAAAAACACCGGAGAAGTGAATATTCCACTGACGTTTCGGGCATTGCCCTTTATCGAAGTGATTCAAGCATGAACAACAATATACAAAATCAAAAATATATAGGCGACGCTTGGTAGTCAAGATGCAAAGGCGTGTGAGAGTACGTGAAAGAAGAGAAAAAGAGATAGAGAAACGTCACAAAGCTCAAAAGTTGGACCATTGTGACGTGAGAAAATAGGAGAAAATTAGAAATATAGGGAGCGTTAGAAGAGCGTATCTCCAGGGGAGATACGCGGAAAGCAAAAGAAAAGGAAAAGAAGAGGCGCACAGAAAGAAAAATAAGCAATTGAAAAAGCATTATGACGTAATAAAGATATTAAAGGGCTATGCCCGAAACGTCAGTGGAATATTCACTTCTCCGGTGTTTTTATTTATCTACCTTGTGTCCTATTCATTTTATGCACCGACGCAGAACCATTTATTTTTACATTATATATATATATATATATATATATATGTATATATATATAGTATATATACAGAGAGAGAGAGAGAGAGAGAAAGAGAGAGAGAGAGAGAGTAAAGGGGGGGGGGCAAGAGAGCAAGAGACAGAGTTAGACAGAAAAGAAGAGAGAAATCTATTTATTAAATAGAGAGAGGGAGGGGGAGAGCGAGATAGAGAGAGTCGGGAGACAGAAGAGAAATTGATATTTATATAGAGAGAGAGAGAGACAGACTGGGTCATTGCGCGTTTAATTTGTATTTATCATCTAATGCTATGACCCAATTCGCCAATAGTAAACCATTGTAAAGTATGTCATGAACATGTGTTTGTCAACTGTACCCAGTTTGATACACCTCCCTAAGTTAAGTGTACATATGAAGTCAATTTTTGAGCAATGTTTGCCTGAGTACACATTTTTAAACCTCTTCATTGCCAGAAAACAAACGGTATGGATACACTATTAATGGTAAATGAAGTTATAATTTTGGAGCAATGTTTGCCAGTTTGCCTGAGTATATTTTTAAGCCTATTCATACAGTGTAGGTAAAAAAAAAAAAAATAACGGTATGGACACACTATTAATGGTATCTGGAGAGAGCTACCTTGTTTCTCTTTGTGAGTATCGTGAGTAGGAAAAGGTCAGGCTCAGATGGTTTGCAGGAGAAGCAAACATGGCCCCGTTTCATAAAACTTGATATCAATAACAAGTTACAAACTACAGTTATAAGCTGCTGAAATCAAGGCATCTGATTGGCTGAGAGCAAACTTGTCATCGAAATTTAGCATTTGTTATAGATAAAAAGTTTTATGAAACAGGCCCCTGATCCAAGCTCTATTTGGCATGCTTTCCAATCCTCTGCTTCATGACTTTGCTTTTGTAAGGTTTCTTTCTCTTTTGTAAATCTGATGGGTATATTGGAGTTTTCTCTGTTATGTCATAATTAGAGCAAAACATTGTTTTCTACATCAAGTAAATGATGATGGAGTATGTATTTGAATCTATAGGTCATTGATGATGATGATGATGATGAAGATGAAGAAAGGAATGCTTGTGATGGAGAAGTCTGGATGTTGACTGGTAAGAAGAAGTATGAGGAGGATGAAGACAATAAGTAGGAGAAGTAGAAGGAAGAGGAGCAGATAATGAGATGGAGGAGGTAGAAGGTACAGAAAATGATGAAAATTCTATATAATGTTCGGATAATTATACATGTAAATTAAAGAACAAGGGGGTCATCTCCTCTCAACCCTTGTGAATGTTGAGCCCAAAATGATGATAAAAAAATCCCTACACCAAATATGCAAATACAATCCATATCTTAAACAGGTTTTGACTTTTGAGGATTGTAGAAAGACCCGTTTTCAGAGGTGCCAACCAGTACGATTTAATCGTATTTTGTACGATAATAAGAGTGGAATACGATAATACGATATCACCTCTTAAAATATGATTTTTCAAAAAAATAACGTTTTTTTTTTTTTTTTATTTAATTTTTATTATTATTTTATTTATTTATTATTATTATTATTATTTTTTTTTTTTTTTTTTTTTTGGGGGGTAATATCCATAAAAACCACGGAAACGCATTAAAACATGAACAGGTAAACCCCCGCAGCCCCAACAAAAACTTTGCTTTACAATTTTCTTTTAAAATTTTAATGAAAGAGCAAACATTTTACTTGACTGTACGTACCAGTATCACATTTTTCTGAAATTTTACTGGCCCGGGGCCAACCGGCCATTGGTAGTGTTGAGTTTTCGTGAAAATCTGATTTTTCTCTCCAAAATCTGATTTTTTAGGATACTCAGTCTGTTTTTTTGTGTCAAGAGGTTGGCATCTCTGCTGTACTACATTATTGCAGTTTTTACAAGAGCCATATTGTGAATTCAGTGCATCATTTTATATGGAGTGGCTTATATAGTCACTTGTGTGTGAATCTTCAAGGTGATTTTGTGGCTGAAGCTAGAGCTTGGAACTAAAAAGAACCGAGTTTGCAGTTAAAACAAGGTATATAGATGAACATGTACAATTGAATATGTTTTTAAAAAAAACTAATTACAGCAAAAATATGGTCTTTACGGTATGCATTTGCGCTGCGTTACGACATCAATAGGTTTTTAATAGGTGAAAGGAAGGCCGGTTGAAAAATACTAATTTTGATGGTAAAATACTAATTTTGCAGGTGCTAAGTACTAATTTGTACTTCCAAAGGTTGGCAGCTCTGCATTTTGATTAATGATAATGTTATTTTATAAGTGATTTACAATGGTGCTGCTCCAAATGGTCCTAAAATCTATTAAAAGAATGGTCAATTCCTCTTGGACCCTGTAAGTGTTGAGCCCGAAATGATAATCTAATCAACACTAACGATGCAAATGTAATCCTTATGTTGACAGGTTGTGAGGATCTCATAAGGCACATGCTGATCCTGGACGCAAGTCGGCGCTATACCACAGACCAGGTCCTGAACCATCGTTGGACCAAGGGCGATGGACCAGATCCAGTCTTCGATAAGATGTTTGCAGAGCACAACGTACAGAGCAATCAGGAAGAGCCGGTCAACGAGCTGATCTTACAGCATATGGTGTCCATGGGGCTGAAGACAGAAGCCATAATGCAGGTCAGTCAATAAGCCATCTTACCAGATACATGTAAAGCACTTGTAAAAGTGAGCCCCAAATATCCACATATGTTTTACACATAGAGACGTCTTACTTTGGACTCCAAACACTTGAGAGGGGCTTTGAAAAACATCTACAATCAAACCTGTCTTAGTGGTCACCTCTCTGTAGTGGCCATGGATTTTGTCTTCCTTTTGTCTTCCTTTGTATAATTTAAATCTGCCCAGAAATAGAAGTCACAACAATGTTGGAAACCAAAAAAACACTATAAGATCTATTACACCTACTTCTTAAAATGCATCTGTTATCAAAATGTTGCAAACCCATATGTAATACCAGTATTTCCTTTCACCTCTATCCACTTTTCTGTCACTCTTTCCTCAGTCTATAACGAACCAAAGTTACGATGAAAACAGTGCAATCTACCATCTCCTGCTGGACAAGCACCGGCGCCACCTGAAGGCCGCGGAGGAGAGCCAATCAGCGGCGGCCCTGTACGCCCTGGCCCTCGGGGAGGGCGTGGCCGCTCAGCGGAACCTAATGCTCGGCGATCAGATGATTCCCCAAGTCAATGTGACGAACGAGGATAACCAAGTCATTCAGGTGGGTTTCGTGTCAAGGAAGACAATTCATTATATTGATAGTAATAAGAATAATCTATTCTTGTGTCGGGTAAACTACACTTGATTTGACTTTGATTTGATTTGATTTGATTTCTGCATGTTTTTCAAATACAATAACTGAATAACAAAGAATGTTTAAACTTAAGATATAATGCAAATATGCAAACAATGATAATTTTGATACAGAAAACTTCCATTGGTTGGGGATAATCAAAAACTGTAGTTTTTAAAGCTTCTAACAACCTTGCATTTTGTGGGCAACCTTTCGTCCACTCCTGTGGACTTTCTCAAGCTAAGTGATCAGTCACACTTTTTTAGCGATGCCTGGTGTCTTGCGATCACTAATAATAACTTTATATCAATAAATGAATATCAAATTGATGAATTTAGCCCTTAAAAAAAATCCTGCTTGAAAGGGTTTAAAAAAAGGGGGATTTTTTTAGTTGTGACCATGTGTTAACAATTTACAAATCGTTTTCACCCCAGAGGTCAATTTGGATTGTGGGCAAGGGCATAAAATCCCCTATTCGTCTACGGCATGAAGTATTTTACTACTTCACTCACAAGTATTGAATAGCTACAGTGCCATTATCTTCTTCTTTGTTTTTCGGTCTCATGACCAACTAGAGGAGATGGTTTGCCCAAAATGCAAATAATATGCAAATAATTTGTACTGCTATCTTATTTATGCATATATACAGTACATAGCACTCAAATGATCCACTACAGGAGTCATTGGGAACAAAATTGTTACAGTTATTTTCTTTCATTTTAAAGTATTATGACCAGCTCACAGGAGATGGTTTGTTCTAACTTCCCTGCAAATATTAATCAATTTCACCTTCATTTTGTTACAGTCTAATGACCAACTAGAGGAGATGGATAGCGACCCAGAGGAGCCCAGCCCCGAGGCCCTCGCCCGCTACCTCCAAATCCGTAGGAACACCGTCATCCCCGGGGACCCCTCTGGCCACAAGGTCCCCGCGGCCTTGCGAGCCAAGCTCCCTGCCCCTCCCCAGCTGGCCGGTATGGGGCTAGGGGGTATGGGGCTTGGAGGGGGAGGGGAGGGCGACGCCCACCTGGCTGGCTTGTTGGGGCTGCCCTTTGGTGGGGCGGGTGCTGCGTACAACATCAACTTGCCACAGAACTTGCCTCTGTTGAATACTATGCCCAACCAAGCGGAGCAACAGCTTACATACAAGGTAAAATATCTCATCTGTTGACCACTTGAAGAAATTACTCAAGTCACATATTTTCTGTTATAAATTACTTTATTACCAGCCTACATATACTTGACTGATCTCCAAAAAGTGACCAACTTTTGTTAATAAGTGGCCCAAACATTGTGGAGCGGTGTGTGCAGCACTTTGTAACCACAAGGAAAAGGCGTTATATCAAATATCTTTTGGATTGGATTGGATTAGATTGGAAACAAGAAAGCAGGTTTATACTGAGTTTACTTTTGCCACAAATGCCAATAGACAAGAGGGGTGTTTCACAAAGACTAAGATCGACTTAAACTGGACCTGAACTATGGCAGGCCATTCATGCCACTGGTTGGTCTCATCATTGGTCCCTCAAGGGACATTTTACATCTTTTGATCGTTCATTATTGAAGGAAAGAATATTATCTAAAGATCACAATTTCTAAGGTTTTTCCCCTCTCATTTTACATCTGGTTCAAGATTTTTTAAGGGCACGAATGGCCTGCCATAGTTCAAGCCCAACTTAAGTCAATCTTACTCTTGTTGAAAAACTCCACTGTTAACTAATGCATTTCAATCAAGGCATCTTTCTCTCTTTTTCCCTTGGCATCGTATCATGAAACAATCATAATAACCAGTTCAGCGACCTCCCATCGAAACGCATTTTAATTTCACACACGTTTCAATAGGATGACCGCAAACTTGTACTTGAAACACTGCCCACCCATGTTACAAGCCATTTCATTCACCCATTGTGCATAATGGCATCACTTATAGATGATATCCACTTTGCATACACCAGTTTTGTGTCTAGGTCAGGGAAGCCTCTGACAAGTTGTCAAGAGAAACTTTTATTCAAAAGGCTTGCATAAAATTTGTTTAACAGGTATATGTGCTGGTGTGCCTTTCTGCGCTGAAAAAGAGTATTGATGGAGGAGAATTCTCACTAGGCCTTGCAAAATCTGCTCTTAATTACTTATATCTGCAATGATAAGAGAATGTACAGAATAAAGGATTGAGAGAAAGGAAAATAAGAGGTACAAATGTAGACAACCTCATTTGCACTTTGAAGAATTTGTTGCCCTGACAATGCCTATCATTAACGATCCACAAGTTTGATGTTGCAAAGTTTCTTGTTCTAGGTGAATACACATAACTCGTCAATATATATTAAACACTCCCAGTCTGGAAACTCCAGGGTAGCGTTTCACGAAACCATCATAAGTACAAGTTCACCGACATCCCATTGAAATGCATGTTGAACTTAATACACGCATTTCAATAGGATGTCGGTGAAGTGGTACTTATGACAGTTTCATGAGACACTGCCCTGATTCCAACCCTCCTTTCCTTGCCTGAAAGGGATCCGGTAACTTTGTCTCAGTTTCTGAAACTAAATCCTGGATTTAGCTCTTGCTGCAATCATAATTATAAACCTTTAGGTCAGGCAGGAACCCCATGACTTTTACAAGCCAATCGCCTGTCTGATTATCAAGATATTTAGGATTGGAAATCAAAACCAAATTTTGCGTTTTCCTAATTACTACAGTCTGTTGTGAAAACGAGTGTGGTAAAACCGGTCACTCAAAGATTTTTACTTTTTTGAGGCACTTCTTCATCATTTTGAAGCGCAATTTTTTTAGGGCTTCAATATTACACCCTACCACATACACTGATAATACTGTACGTAGGACCGTGCATCTCAGATTTAACATTGTTAAACAATGCTTTTAACCTTCAGGAGCAGAATCTGCTGAAGCCGCCCGTCCTAGAAGCCACCGCCGGGCAGTCTAGCTTTGGTCGCAGGGCGTCCGACGGGGGAGCCAACATGTATCTCAACATCCAGCAGTTCAGAAAGCAGCTACAGACCACCGTCCGCACCAGCCAGCCCGGGGACATCGACGCAACTGGACAGGTACGTACTCCCAGGGTGGTGTTTCACAAAGATCCTAAGTTGAAATTAACTCAAAGTTGGACTTAAATATTATGGAGAGCCATTTGTAGCCTTTAATGAAATAAATATATCTACAAGCAAAAATTGAAGTATTTAAGACTTCTCATAAATTCCACATCAAGAACATGAAATCTCCTGAGATAATAGAAAATATGAATGATTTGAATCAACATTTATGCCTTTAAAAATAACTTTTATAAACAAATTTCAAAGATGCTAACGGCTTTCCATAATTGTTAAAGGTAAAGACCAGTTATGGTCATGCGATTGCATCGTGAAAGAAACGTTGTGATATCGATTAGAAAAGGTTGATCATCTAGCATCTAGCATCTGCAAGGTTCTGGAATCATCAAAATGATAAGAAATTTGGCCCATTCTTCGTAAAGTTACAAGCACTATACACAGAAAGATGTATATGGGACTACCCTATATCTCTCACAGACCATGAGAGAAACAAATTTACCAAATATATGAATTAGTAGGCGGTTTCCCAGCAAATTTTTTATCATCATGTATTAGTCAAAACATATTCTTTCACATGATTGGTAATGAGAGCTTCCATTTCATTTTTTTTCATCCTTTTCATAAACTGTTTCATAATGTTTTATATGATTCTTACATGTAGTTTGGTGCTGAGACATTACAGCAGAGATTATCCGATACAACTATGCCAGAGGAAGACGAGAACTCGGACGGGGAGCCTGATGAAGAGGCAATACGAAGGTGAGTGACAGAACGAAGGAATGGTGCCTATAGATGAAGGAGAGAGGGAAAGGAAAGAAATATGAACAAGTATGAGATTACAATAAAAATGAAAGATGGGGGTCCTTATGAAAAGGTTGTGCAGGTGAGTTACAGTACAAATGAATAGAATCTAAGGATGAAGGAAAGAAATATGAATGAGTATGACTATGAGATAGGTTGATTGAAATATAAATCAAATGATAGGGGTCCTTATGATAAGGTTGTTCAGGTGAGTGACCGAATGAAGGAATATAATCTATCGATGAAGGAGAGAGGGAAAGGAAAGAAATATGAATGAGTGTGAGATAGGTTGATGGAAATATAGATCAAATGATATGGTTCCTTATGACAGGTTGATTACAATAGAAATGAAAGATGGCTGTCCCTATGAAAACGTAATATTTAGGTGAGTTCCAGAAAGAAGGAATGAAATCTGAAGATGAAAGAGAGAGGGAAAGGAAAGAAATATGAATAAGGCCTAAAATAAAAACTTGTTGTATTGCCCTTTGGGTGCCAAAACATGGGTCGGTCAGTCTGATTTTTTTTTTTTTTTAAACTTTTTTTTTGTCACCCTCTTTTGGCCGATATTTTTCAGATTTGAATGTTTTTGTTGTTTTTGTTGTTTTTTCCCGCCCTCTTTTGGCCGATATTTCTCAGTTTTAATGCTTTAATACATGTGTTTCAGCGTCATCATTCCATTGATATCTTTTTCACCTCATAAAAATACTTTTATTCATCACTCATGGTTTGCCCGAGTGATAATTTTGGAATAATTTCATTTCATGCATTTATATCCCATTTTTTAAACAAACAAAATACATATTTTTTTTTTATTCATTAATAAGAAATAAAATAAAAAACAGTTATAAAATTTATTTTTTTTAAATGCTGACCGTAGATTTTCAGATTTTTGGGTAGGTTGCAAAGGGCAATACAACAAGTTTTTATTTTAGGCCTAAGTATGAGATTACAAGAAAAACGAAATATGGGGGTCCTTATGAAAAGGTGATATTCAGTTGAGTGACAGAACAAAGGAATGGAACCAGTAGATGAAGGAAAGGGACGAAATATGAATAATCATGAGGTAGGTTTATAACATTAAAAATGAAAGATAGGGTCCTTATAAAAAGTTTGTGCAGGTGAGTGACAGAACGAAGGAATGGAACCTATCGTTGAAGAAGAGAGGGAAAGGAAAGAAATATGAATGTGTGAGAGACAGATTGATTGAAATATAAATCAAATGATGGGAGTCCTTATGACAGGTTGATTACAGTAGAGATGAAATAAAATCCTTATAAAAAGGTGATAGTCAGGTGGGTGAAAGAACAAAGGAATGGAACCTGTAAATGAAGGAGAGAGGGAAGGATTGATAGAATGAATTGAATGTGAGTGAGACAACGAAGGAATGAATTCAAAATGAAGGAGAGAGGGAAGGATTGATAGAATGAATTGAATGTGAGTGAGACAACAAAGGAATGGATTCAAAATGAAGAGAGAGGGAATGTGTAGGAGAGAGTTAGGTTGATTAGTCATGAAGGGTTTGGTGGAAATAATGTAAAGAATGGGGAGCCTGATAAATAAGTACTATTTGTGGAACTCAAAGAGCAATAGTTTGGAGATAAAGGGATGGGTTAAGCAAAAGGAATGAAACAATTGTGAAAAAAAAGGAATGTATGTACAAGTTAAATAAAGGACTAGGTTAGAAAGGGAAGGGATGTTTAGAATTGTGATTAATGAAGTACATCCACTCATTCTAAAATGAATTGAAAGGAAATACAGTGATTGGTCCAGCATATGTTTTAATAATTGTAATACCCTTCTAATTTCTGTTTTCCTTTTATCACAGATATCTTGACAAGGGTCGCTGCCGGCACACCATCGGTCCCGACGTCCTCACAAACAACGACATGCCTCTCGTCTCCCGCCCCCGACACAATCGCTTCCTTCAACCGGAACGCTCCCTGCACCTCTTTGCCTCCACCAACGCACGGCGGGCCTCCGACGGCATGCCCAATCTCCAGTACTACCAACGGGAGCGTCTGGAACGGCTGGCCGCTACCGGAGGGGGTAGCAGCAGTAGTCAAAAGAGCTCTCTCAAGCAGCTTCATAAGGAGTGTCAGCAGTTACAAAAGCAGTTCAGCTCCCCCATCGATGCACGAGCACAGGAGCTGCAAATGCAGATGCAACAGCATCAGCATCACTTACACAAGGAGAAGATGCAAACTGGATTGGTAAAAACAATGCATAAACATTTGAAACTCCTATATCATGTACAGAGAGCTAGAAGGGTACTAACAGACTTAATACCTGTCTTGCTTTTAAAGGCATCTTTTAACAATGTTAAATCGGAGATACATGACTCTACGTGTTATCAGTGTCCGTGATATGGTGTAATATTGAAGCCCTAAAAAATTGCGTTTCAAAATGATCATGAAGTGCCTCAAAAAAGTAAAAATCCTTGAGTGACTGGTTTTGCCATACTCATTTTTTCCAATAGACTGTAGTGTTATAAAAACCGTTAGGAAAACAGAAATGAAATCTTGATTTCCAATCATAAATATCTTGATAATCAGACAGGCGATCGGCTTATAAAATTCATGGATTCCTGACTGACCTAAAGGTTTATAATTATGATTGCAGCATGAGCTTAAATCCAGGATTTTATTTCAGAATCTGAGGCAATGTTACCGAGTCACTTTAATACCCCCTGCATCTTGCTTGTGATAGATGACATTAGGGTTTTTAGATTGAGTGGACGAGAACACGACGAACGCCGACTGATCATGCGTGTCAACGTACTTAACTGCCCATGTTGACTACAATTAGAAATCTTTTAGATTGCACTCGAAGATATACATGCATGCAGGAAGTAACACTATGAACATCACGGTCAAAGAAAGAGGACAAAATATACAGTTCCTCATTCTACCCTCAACAAAAGAATATCCCTTCACTGCTATTATGTAAAATGTGTAGAACAGGTGAATATGCATGTGACACCTGTTCTACACATTTTTGCATAATAGCAGGGAAGGGATGTTCTTTTGTCCACCCAAGGAACTGTATATTTTATGCGCACGCGGCATACTAGTACATTGAGCATGTAAATGCCAATATGTATGTATGTACTAGATTTAGGAAAATCAAGGTTGACGCATTCTCGATCGCCGACCGAGATGACGTAACGCATGCGCAGTGCCTTAAAATGACGTCACACATTGCAGTCAAAGGTTTTGACGTGCAAATCTAAAAGTCCCTATTGTAAATGAAGTAGTTCATTCATAGTGTATGTAGGATTAGATTTTGCCCCTCCGATGTTTTAGTCTGATGAACATCAGATACAGTCAAACCTGGGCATCTAATTCATACACCCATATTTTATACATTTTTAGCAGATGGCTAGTACTGAGAGACATAAGAGTGATCCATTAATGTTTAGTTGGTTATCTATGACAGAATGAGAAGTGCGAAAATTAAACAACAAAAATGTGTTGTGTATATTTGATAAGTTTTAGGAGACTAATCTTGCATGGTATACACTTTAGGAGACTAATCTTGCATTGTATAAGTTTTAGTAGACTAATCTTGCATTGTATAAGTTTTAGTAGACTAATCTTGCATGGTATACATTTTAGGAGACTAATCTTGCGTTGTATAAGTTTTAGGAGACTAATCTTGCATGGTATACATTTTAGGAGACTAATCTTGCATTGTATACATTTTAGGAGACTAACCTTGCATTGTATAAGTTTTAGGAGATTAATCTTGCTTTGTATAAGTTTTAGGAGACTAATCTTGCATTGTATACATTTTAGGAGACTAACCTAGCATTGTATAAGTTTTAGGAGACTAATCCTGCATTGTATAAGTTTTAGGAGACTAATCTTGCATTGTATAAGTTTTAGGAGACTAATCTTGCATTGTATACGTTTTAGGAGACTAATCTTGCATTGTATAAGTTTTAGGAGACTAATCTTGCATTGTATAAGTTTTAGGAGACTAACCTTGCATTGTATAAGTTTTAGGAGACTAATCTTGCATTGTATAAGTTTTAGGAGACTAATCTTGCATTGTATAAGTTTTAGGAGATTAATCGTGCATTGTATATTTTCATATTTCAGTTGTCCCATTCACCAACGGGAATATCCAGCACTTCGCCCCATCTCTCCCCAGTCTCGTCTCTTCGTAGTGATCTCCCCATCGCCGACATCCAGACCCAGCATCTCCAGCAACACCTTCAGCGTCTGCAGCTTCAACGCCAGTCGGACAGTCCACCAAGCCTGCGCAAGCTACACAGCCCTGGCAGCAGAGGGAGCCCTCCCCTGTCCAGTTCCCTTCCCGTCCATCCAGAGGAGACGGGCGTCGAGAGTCCGACGGATACGAGGTTCCCGACGAATCCTCTGGACACGATGGTAGGGTCACCGCATTCAGTTTGCAGCCAGCCTGAAGAGTCGGTTCCGAGTCCAGTCACGGCTCATTCAGTGCACTCGCATCGCGGCGTGGAAGTGCACCTGAACGGTCCGGATCGGTCGAATCAAGGGTCGGGGAGTCTTCACGGGGCCGGGAGCCTGGAGCATGTTGGTTTGAATGGACCGCTCCTGCAGGAGATGGAGGAGACCAGGGAGCGTAGAGACAGTAACCAGAGCCTTGAGAGGGAGCAACGTAGCTCCAGTATCGACGCCGAGCAGCTGATGCAGGCAATGGCGTACCAACAGCTTCACATGATGCAGCAGAACTCCAACTACACCAACCAGCTCGGCATGGCTGGCAGTCCCGATACCGTCCAACACCACCTCCAGCAGCAGCAGCATCCGCTCCAGCAGGGGAACCCCCTTCAAGACTTTGCTCACCTTGCTCACAGACACTTGCAACACCACACCAGTCCCCTCTCGGCCGGCGTCCCCACCGAGCCCCTCCAGATAGGAATGTCGCCCTCTATGGGCATCCATCCCCACTTGCCTAACCCGTACCATCCCTCGGCCACGCAGGCCTACCTGGCGGCCCAGGCCAACCGAGAGCTGAACGAAGCCTTGCAGAATGCTGCCCCCACGTCCATCAGCAATGAGGTTCCGGGTGGGGGGATGTCGGCAGTGCCTTTCAGTCAACGCTATCTGCTTCCTGCCATGATTCCTTCCCAGCTGCAGCAGCAGGCGCAGGAGTACGAGGAAGCGGAGCTTCATCACCAGGTGCTAGACAACACGACTCAGAATCAAGAAATGCATTCCATCAGTGGGTTTCAAGGTAAATAGACAGACTGTGCTCTAATCTCAGCACAGATCCCTGTAACGTTTAGATATCCAATCACCCTGAAGATGGGTTTCCATTCTTAACCCTGTTTAGCCCGGGGGGGGCTTGAGAAGCCCCCCCCTCGACATTTTTCGCGATAATTTTTTAACGCAAGAAAATCTTGCACTGAAATTTTGTGACTTTTTTCTTTCGAGTCTTGCGCAACTTTTGAAAGAAATTTTTCGAAAATCGGACCTACCATTACAAAGTCACGTGTCCTTTTGTCTTCGCATGTCAGCCCGAAAATCGCTCATTTTTGTGATTTGTGTACAAAACATATGGAAATCTCATTTTTCAAATAAAGAGGTAAAACATTGGTTATTTGGTCTTGTTTAGATTTTAGGTGTTTATTTTGGGGTCAAAATAGTTGAATTATAGTTGGAAATGAAATAAAACAACAAAAACAATAAAATACATAAGTTAAAAAAACAAAGAAATACATAAGAAATTATCAAAACAATAGATAACATAAGGAATAACCCTGGTTTTTCAAATTTTTGTGCTGTATTATTATTCCAAATGGTCTAACAAATATATGTAGTGAGAAAGAATGCTTAAATATGAATAATGTCTGATTAATGGGCAAAAATGTGAATTTAATGACCTTATTTGCATAAATTACCATAAATATGCAAATGAGTGAATTTTTCAAAAAAATTGAAATTACCATAGTATTCTATACACTTCACTTGACATGTATGCAAATTTTCGCGGCGATCGGGCGTTTCACGGCCGAGATCATAGGGGGGGGCCTGAGAAGCCCCCCCCGGGCTATGCAGTTTCAAAATAGCCCGGGCTAAATAGGGTTAAAGGTAAATAGACTGTACTCTAATCTCAGCACAGATCCCTGTAACATTTAGATTTCCAATCACACTGAACATGGGTTTCCATTCTTAAAGTTTGTTTCAAGGTAAATAGACTGTGCTCTCATCTCAGCACAGATTCCTGTAACATTAAATATCCGATCACCCTGAAGATTGGTTTCCATTCTTAAAGTTTGTTTCAAGGTAAATAGACTGTGCTCTAATCTCAGCACAGATCCCTGTAACATTTAGATATCCAATCACACTAAAGATGGGTTTCCTTTCTTAAAGTTAAATAGACTGTGCTCTAATCTCAGCACAGATTCCTGTAACATTCAAATATCCGATTACCCTGAAGATTGGTTTCCATTCTGTAAGTAATATTGAAGGACTGTGCTATAATCTCACCAAAGTTTCCCATAGCATTCAAATATCCAATCATAGTTCAATTAGGATTCATACATTCACAGACTGTGGTCTCATCTCATCACAGGTTCCTGTATCAGAATGTCCACTTATAGTTGAGATAGGTTTCTATTCTGTTTCTGGGTTCCAGAATGTTCCCTAATCTCTTCACAGGTTCTTATATTATAAACATCCACTCATATTCAAGATGGGTTTCCAAACTATAAGTCATTCCAAGTCATTTAAATCCATGAGACTGTGCTCTCATCTCGGCACATATTCCTGTAGCATTCAAATACCCACTCTTGATTGAGATGTGGTTCCACTCTTGAATGGGTTCCTGTGTACACATAATACTGTACAACCAGAAACCTGTGGCATGAAACTTGCTGTTTTGATGGCAAGAATTTTTCTTTAAAAAGCAACCAAAAAAAATTGTTGTTGAAATTATTAAGTTTATTTTAATCAACAATTCATGAATCTGAACCACTCACAGAATTTACAAATTTGTCATGCTTGCAAAAAAAAGTCGGTTTCATAGTAACTTTTCTCTCATGCCTGATAATTACTCTGTTTATAGTTAAACAAAATTACTCTAATGACACTGAGACCAGCGTGAATTCAACTTAAAATGAACTTCTAAAATACTTTTTTGTCCTTTTTTTGTCTTGTATTTTAATGGATGTCTCACATAATGTACATGTACATCTAGCAAAATCCACATGAAATATAACTGCTCTATCTTTTTTTTCACCATCATGCGTTCATAATGCAAATTGAAAAGGAATTAAGATTGATACATAGTTATGTAGTTAATTTTTTTAAAACATTTCTATTAAAAGTAATATGTTGGCTCCAAAAGTCTTCAGAAATTACAGAGAGAGATTGCAGAGAGATTGCAGAGATGTTGTTAAAGGTTTTGCATGGAATGTGAGCGATTTATCAGCTGAGTTTTGTTAATGGCAAATTAGTCGGCATCAGTATTTTAAATTAAGGAAGCGGCTTGAAATGGACACATTGTAAATTCTTCCAACATAAAACATTATGCATGTGAGCTGAATATGTATTATCATAGATAAGTATTATGTGTCAGTATTGATAGTATTACACGTATATATGTAGAAAGAGAAATAATGTTTGAATTCAAATTCTGTTGTTCTATTAGTGCAATTTAGTCAATTACGTTTATCTGAAACATGTCATTACAGTATGCAGTATTGTCAAATAGTGTGAAGTAAAAAAGAAAAAAATGGAAAAAAAGAAGAAAATTATACAAGTATGTGTAAACCTCTAATGTATTGTTTTTGTATCATGAAGAAAATTTCACAACGTATCAAAAGTTTGTGTTTTGTACACATTACTTGATAACCAAATTATGAGTTCACATTCTAATTATGGATGAAAATTTACACCAAAAATTAGTTGTAATGTCACACATGAATGTATTTTCATTTGATTTATATTGTATCCAGTAGTGGTGATGTACATGTACATGTAGCATTTATTTATCATGATCAGTTCAATAGTTACATGTATCTGTGCGTGATGGAATATATCAGAAAACTATTTTTACAGCAGTGTTAGTAAGAACTTAGTACAAATTTGGTATATGGCATATCATAGTTAGCGTGTAATGTCAAAGCGATTGGAGACAGTTTTTCACTATGGTTAGTGTAGCACTGCCATTTTTTTTGGAGACAACTTTGAAAATACTGCATATATAAAGAAGAAGGCATGTAAGAGCTTTGTATTGTCAACGTTATTATCAGACTTCTCACAGGCAGCCGACGATATATAGTTTTGTGTTTATTTCACTCAAAATCCTAGAGACAATTCCCCCCTTATTTACTAGAAATACGCATATATGGATATAAATATATGTAATCTAAATAAGATAAATAGGATATGAAATTTACATTTGTGAAGCAGTTAGTATCATTATGTATATATGTCTAGTGTCGATTATAATCCTGTATATTTCTAGCAGAATCATATTTTTTAACCGTTGAAGGCTTCTTAAAAAAAACCACCTTGATGTATGACAATGTTAACTGTATTTTATATTAAGGAAATGTAAAGTCTTTTATCTGTGCATGCCGTTGGTAAGTTCTTGTGCAATATGTGATCATGTCATATTTATTTTTTTCTGTACCAATATGTGATACACCCAGATGGTAATATATATGTATTTAGTGTTCGGAGTATAGGCAGAACGCATGCCACTGTAATGGAAGATAATTCCAAGTTAGTAAATTCTTTTTTTCTTTCTTGAAGAGGTGGATAAGTCGTTGGACTGTGGATCACAGGGTCCGCGGTTCGAGTCCCGCAGTCCCGCCACGACTCTAATGTCCTTTGGCAAGACATTAATCTACATTTGCCACTCTCCACCCAGGTGTTAAATGGGTACCTGTAGGAAGGAATTTCTTGAATGCTGTGAGCGCCGAAGTCGGCTGCCTAGCAGAGCCGGGGTAATAGTTGGAGCGCCTTGAGGACCATGCATAGTGGATATGTGTGCTATATAAATATCCAATATTATTATTATTATTATAGGCATCTTAAATCTTAAAGTGTTGATAAATGGCAACTAATCTTCAAAAGGAAAATAGTATTTTTAGTATTACATGGGAAGCTTGCTTGGGAATGATGATGATTATATGAATGACAGTGATGATGACGATGATTATAATATTGGGATTATGTAGAGCTTTATTAAATCTCTGAATTAGCCTTGATTATCTATTATTTTACATGCTGTGATCACATCAAACAAGTTCTGGTTCCTTTTATTTCCCATCAATGTTCACTTGTTATTAATGTTATTGTGATTAAGTAAGAATAAGGTTATAAAAATATGTTTTTACCTAATTAAATTGAAGCATCAAAAACCTCGAACTATTGGATTACTTGAATAATCTTAAAGTTGGACAATGATGCAGGCATGTCTTAAATGCTGACTGCTGCAAAATACCAGTAATATCTAATTTGTTATGGAAGGCCCAAAAGTTTGTAAGCACTTGCATTTATGGTTGCTCTAATATAAGGTTGCTTTGATGCTTTGAAAATGTACATGTAAGCTACAGCAGATGTGAGGAGCTAGATTAAAAAAAAAGAAACTACGAGCTGTGAAGTATGAACCTGTTTGGAACTGTGATGCATCCCACATTGTATCTGGTGGTAACCGGGGGCAACTGATGACACCAAGCCAAGGCTCCTCCCTCTTTCTCTTTCTCAACTCCTGCCCATGCCTGCATGCCTACCACCATGCATTGAGTCTTGTCTGTATCCAATTTAGTAGAGCTTCATCATCATCTTACTGCTTCAAGCATCGTCTTTATGATTTCAAGATTTTGTTTGCTCCTCGATTGGTCATTGATAAGTCGTAGAGTGGTCCTAGACATACAGTGGGCTGGTCCTAGAGAGACGTGAGACCTGGTCCTATATAAATCTTACATCTGGTTGAAAACAAATCTTGGGCTGGTCCTAGATAAATCTTAGACATGGACTTAGATGAATCTTAGACCTGGGCTTAGATGAATTATAGACCAGGTTCTAGTTTCATCTTAAAACTGGTCCTAGATGAACCTTAGACTAGTCCCAGAATTTTGTTAGACCAAGTCCAAGATGAATCTTATACTGGTCCTAGATAAGTCCTGGTTTTGTTCTAGATGAAATATAAAAGGATAAGACAAAGCCGGATAAAGAAATCAGTTTGAAGAAAAGTAACTCCTGTTTTGCCTTAATTCTCTTCAAAAAGAAAGAAGAAGAAAAAAACACATTTAGAAATGTTTATAAACAGTACGTTTAAAATTTGTTGAAATAAAACTAGTAGGATTTAAGGTACACTGTATCTGTCCATTTTCTCTTTTAAGCCAAGTCCATGTTTTGTTTATTTATTCTTTAACATATATTTGTTAAGATACAAAAAATATTATTTTACACATTTATGCTTTTGTTTGACGTCAACACGTAAGTATCAAAGGAAATTTGAGAGTCAAGTATTTATTGGAATATTTAAGATCATTTACAATTTGATTAATTTGATACTAAAAGAAAAGTTATTGCAACAATAGATAAATACTGGCAATGTTTAAATCTGCAGATTATTTGAAAGTACATGTATGCATAGCCAGTAAATATGAACTGGGCAGGGTATATTACCTGTACAGTGTGGTTGCAGGTCATCAGGGTTATTAGGTCATAGGTCGATGGATAATAACCCTCCATATTCATTAGCAAACCGTGAGACTTCTAGAAACTCATGCCCAATACGATTGCATTCAACGATTCATTTTATGCTTATTATGTTCCGATTATTTTATTTCATTCTATTTGAATTGAATGATGGAAGTTCTGTATTGAATTTTGTGTTTAGTGTATTGGTGCAAAATCTATTTTCATTTTGTTTTTTGGCTCGATGTACCACAGTCCTTATGCATGCTTGTCCTCAAATTTCATCCCTTTTTAGTTCGTCCCTGACCCTTCCCTTTAAAAGAAAATACTAATTTTAAGGCATTTAGAGAAATTCCCTACCCTTTTCAACAATTTTTCAGTGTGGGCAGTGTTTTGAAAAGAAAACCTTAAAACCTGACCATCCCCTTAAAAAATAGAAAAGACTAAACATGAGGCATTTAGAGAAATTTTGTACCCTTTTCAACTTTTTGGTTTGGGCAGTGGTTTGAAAAGAAAGAGAAGAAGAAATGACTCAAGCATTGACAATAATCAAATTACCTTTGGAAACTTTTCAATCTTTGAAGCACATTGCTTTTCAAGAAGGCAATGCAGTAAAGACAAAATTTAGGAGGACAGAAAGTAAATAGTTTCCATTTTCGCCATTGAAAACAAAAATGAGGATTAGATGCAAAAATTCTATTACCAGTTTTGGAACCAGAGTGTTTATAAATTGCCCCCAAATTGTAAATACTTTTGGCACTTTTTTCCAAACACAACTGTAAAAGCTCAAAAGAATAGTTTAAATCTCTCAGAAATATTAGAATGCATGGAAAATAAATGAAACCTAGTTGTTCCTTAGTCTCCCTTCCATCAGCTTCTAATTATTTTCACATCCCATTCAATGTTTTCAAACAACTTGTGAGAAGGTTGGAAAAAGCTTTTTTGAAGAAATTAAAACCTTTTGCTCCAAAAGAATGTTTATCAAGAATAGAACAAGGCTACATTTGAAAAAGAAAAATCTTGCATAAATACCGCCCTTCCCTTCCCTTTCCAAATAGTGTGGTACAAGAAAAATGTTTCATGGAAATAAATCATTAAAAAATTATCCGGGACAAAACATACTCTGAAAATCATTTCTTTCAACAAAACCAAAAAAAGAAATAAAAAAGAAATTGATGTAAAATTTGTTGAAGAGATTTTTATTTTGAGGATATTTGGTTTCTTGAGTAAATCAATGTATTTTCAGACTTTTTCACAAGCATCATTGCACTAGACACAAAATCATGAATATTCATCACTCCATATTGCATATGTATGAGAATGATTTCATCACGCACCAGTCACCTTGCACCCATTTTCTGTCTTTCCCCCTCTCTCTCTGTCTCTCTCTATCTGTCTGCCTGGATTAGGACTCTTCCACTTAGGCTTCCGGGGGAGCCAGGGTCAGCTACGCAACCATCAGCGTCACCACTCGGCTCACGCAACGACCGGGCACGTTCAAACCCAGCTCCTGCAACGGACCTTTCGCGTTCCTTCCGGCGATCTATTCAACATGGCAAACAATAATAACTCAGGCATGACCGCCATCGGTCTCGTCAAACTCGACTACGAGGGCGGTGTTCCGCCGCTGATTCGGCAGAGCATGAACATGAGCTGTATCTCCTTGAGCGACTCGTCGGACCTCGCGAGCGAACCGTCGCCGATTAAACACGCCAAATCGTTCAGCATGACCACGTGTAAAGACCTCAACGAAATTGTGAATGAGATTCGAAGGACGTTGGATCGTAGGCAGCCGGATTTAGTTTACACGAACAACGAGAATATGTTTGAATTGCAACAATACGGTGTCGAGATGGAGATGGAGGTGTGTAGGGTACCGGGCCTCGCGCTTAACGGTCTCAAGTTACGGAAAATCGCGGGAGATGCAAGTCAGTACAAGGAGTTGTGCAGCGAAATTCTTCAGACCATGAAGCTCTAGCAAGCCAAAGGCATTTAATCTGTTTTAATAGCACAAATGGTGAAAACGTTTGCAGTATTTATCCCGAGGGAAGCACAAGTTATCATCCAACTGGTCGTGGTTAATGGAGTGAAGTTGGGTGCATGAAGATTAATCTGTCCCAAATCAAGTGTTGTGATTCTACTTTGGTCTACCAACACAGAAACATGCATTGTTCTGAGGAAAGTTTTGTTGCAAGTTGGAATTATTTGTTATGATCCCCGTCTCCCAAGTTTTTTTAAATCATCCACAGTCGACTTGCAAATTTGTTTGATGTCACTTTAGTTCAAATTGTCAATGAAGAACCAGAAGGGCGTTATGTCTACATTAAAGTAAAGCATTTAACCCCCTCCTGCCTCTCATGAGATAGCATCCACTTCAGGACCCTGTTGCATAGAACTTACCATTGATGGTAACTTTGCCATCAATGGCAACTACCATGGTAACAGGGCTCAACAGCCAATCAAAATCAAGGTTTCCATGGTAGTTACCATTGATGGCAAAGTTACCATCAATGGTAAGTTTTGTGCAAAAGGCCCTGATCAAATCTCCGCTCAGATATGAAGCCGTAAACTGCAGCATTTTTCTTTTTCCAAACATGTACTTGAATGGCAACTGCGCGCTACAAAGGTGCTACACATGTTCACTTAGCTCTGTGTTGAAGCATACATAAATGTGAAATGTATTTAATACACTAATAGGTCATTATAAGAAAGAACGCAGCGGTTTATTGTGTCGTATCTGAGCGAGGCTTGACAAACAAACTAGTGTTCCATACATGAGACAACTTGCCCTTTGGCTTGCATCAAGCATCACAAAAAGGTGGGCTAGCATATTACTTGCCCCATTAATGTAAGTTAGGTGCTTGCTAAATCTTGTGTTGTTTTCGTTTCAAAATGAAAATTCACCAGATCCAATGGTGAAACGGTGAATAGGGACAAATATGTGAATTTTAATATTTTTTTTAGTTTTCCCCAAAGTGAGACCTTATTCTTTCTCTCTTCATTATAAGTCAAAGAATTAAATGGGAAAAAATGTTGCAATCATTCCTGAGGGAAGAATTCATTCTTCGCTTTTTATTTCTTTTCGACAAAACTGTTCCTTTTACTAGTTTCATGGCTGGCAAAGCAATTTTTTAATTGTTATTTAATGCTTCTTTTCACCAAAATTTTTCCTATTCACCTAGTTTCATGATTTATGGTTCTAATTTTTTTTTACACAGTCACTTTCTCATTTCGTCTCATGTTGTGTAGTGTGCACGATTGCTCAGATTGCTAGATCCAAATGTGAGAAAAAATTGTTTAAAAATTGCAGCTACCTGCATAACGCTTCCAGTGACCATGTTGTCTCAAACTTGTTGCATATTTGTTGCTATGTCAGACAAAGCTTATGCAATTAAAGTGTAGACCAAGTCAAAATGCATTCCCTGTTTCTCTTCCAGCTTTTTCGTAAAGATGGGGGAGGGAGTTCCTTGAAATACTAAAGAATTACAAAAGTATATACCCTGGTATTTAGCATTTAACATTGGGGTCTCTTATGAAATACATATAATAACAGTGCCATAAAGAATTACCTTTCATAAAATATTATCTTAGCAGTATTATTGTGTATTCTCCTGTTAAACTTCTTCGCTTCTGCTTGTTCTTTTTACCTATATGTGTACTAGAGTATTAAAATACAGCGACACCTGCCTATAAAGACCGCTCAAGGGAGACAAGGAAAGCTGTCTTTATAGACAGGTGGTCTTTAAGTAATGGTTCCTTTGGTACATGTTTCAATGAGAAACCATTTTCAAGGGAAACATAAAACATGGTCTTTATAGGCAGGTGGTCTTTCTATACAGGTGGCCGCTAAAGCAGGTTTGACTGTATCACTCAACTATTTTGGGGGAATGACAATGGAATGGCTACCGTATGTTAAATGAAAGTAGTCCATTCCAATATTGTTCCCAACTTCAGGTATTTTAATTAGCCTGGAGTTAGTCTCTCTCTTCCTCACGCTCATAAACAAAGAACCTGTACAAGCAGAAAGTGAACAGTTTCTTGACCTACCAAATATCACCTTCCCCCTTTTTTGTGTTACCCTTGAGTGATTTTCACATCCACAATTTTCTCTTCTTGAAATAGAATTGTGATAATGTTGTTTTTTAAATAAAATAAATATGGGCCTCAATCTTTATAGAATACCTCCTAAGGGTTACTGCCGGGAGGACATTAACCTTTTTAAAGTTTTGGTGAGTTAATGCCGTTCTGACGCCAAACAGATGATAAATTGTTGTAAACGATCTGGGACCCATTTCACAAAGCTTTTTTTCAATGACAAATGACAGAAATCAGTGACAGGTCTGCTGATAACCAATCAGAAGCAAGGATTTCAGTAGCTTATAACACAAACTGTCATTTGCCACTGATGACAAGTTTTGTGAAACCGCCCCCCTGATGTAATAATTAAAGCACTTGTATTTTTAAAAACCTTGTGTATGGAAGAATCGTGATGGATAATTCATGCTGTACATTTATTGTACGTAGATGATTTAAAGAGTATTTTTATTTAACACCTTGATAAAGAGACAATTTTGTGAACATTTGGTAATTATAATATCTATATATTTATGTGTGGAATCATCATCGAAAAGGCTTGCATGCTATATATACAATGTAAATTATGACGTAATATTGTGTATTGAGTATTTAACAGGGTTATGTTTAAGGAGCATGCACCCCTATGCTGTAAAAGACTGATCATAATGTTATGCATAGGGTAGGGGAAAAAGAGGTTGAACAGGTTTTAAAAGGTCCAAATTGGTTGAAAAGAATCCTTTTTATATGTTTTATCAAAGTGATTGTGTAGATTTGATGTCCTTGATTGTGCTGGTGTTTTTTTGTCCCCTTTATTTTTTGTTCTTGTAATGGTACGTGTGGATAACACACAATAGTGTGAAAGGCCACCGGGGTCAACAAACTTTCCGGCCCAAATTTACAAAGGAGGTTCGTCGACAAACCTAGGTTTTTGTGCGTCCTATGATGCGTTTGAATGCGTTTGAATGCGTTTGAATGCGTTTGAATGCGTTTCAGACCAAGGTTCAGACAAACCAAGTTGGTCTAAAACGTATCATATGACGCACATAAACCTAGGTTTGTCTACAAACCTCCTTTGTGAATTCGGGCCTCCATGTCTAAAAGAAATTCGGCCCTTCAGATGCTACAGCGGCATCTCATGTAAGAAAGGATTTTAAATTACACTCAGTAAAAAAAAGAAAGTGGACACTGTTTATAGTTAAGATTTTCAAATAAACATTTAAAATAGAATAATCATTCGTAAATCAGAATAAACATAAATTTATCCTCTTTGAGATGATATGCAATTGGAATCATACCAGTCATGCAGGTGTATGACTTATCTTTGTATGATTACAAACTATTTGGAAAAATACATCGTCATTAGAGGGACATCATTTTTTGCTGCATTTTGGGGTCATTCCGAGCCACAAATACAAAGTGTCAGAGATAGAGGGCTCAAGTGAGCGTAGGCCCCTACAAACTATGGATAAAAGAAGAAAACAAAACTATGCTGTGCGTTACCTCAACTTTTTCGTCCGTTGCCATATCAGATTAGCTGCTGCATTCATAGTCTGCAATCTTAATAGAGTTACACTGTAAAAGTACATTTGAATGTGCAAGACATTTATTCATGCCATGCATCAGGGCTTTGTGCTTAACAGTGAACCAATTCAGAAGGGTCTCCTAATTTAAATGAGAAACTTGGGTTTACTTCGAATCGGGGTCAATGCGTTCGGTCAGGTGGTCGCTTTAAACTTCCTTTCATGAAAAAATGAAAGCGGAAAATCATTCGACCTTTTGTAGATTTGCCATAGGGTCCACAAATTGTTTACGGTAATTTGGACTAGACCATTCGTAGATGAGGGGGGTTTATTTCACAACCATGACCCCCGACAGGATTTGGACAAAGACAGAAGTAGAATATATGCAGGGTTGAAAATAGTCAAAAAAACATATTACTTTGCTGTTTTCCCCACTATTTATAGACTATTTTATTTTGACTAGGGAAAGGTTTAATTGGAGCCCTCCTGATGCATACTGTGATTGTAAATATCCATAATGGATAGAAAGAAAAAATCTTTAGGCAGCTGAATAGAGTATGTATAATTGGAAATAAACTAGATTTTTTTTATTTGTAAAGGCAGTCTATCCAAAACAATTATGCAAGTTATGATAAAGTGGTAATGATTTCACAATCTTAGGGATGGTTTATTCATTAAAAAAATATTTAAAAAATATGAATAGCAACTGCACACAAACAATTGTGACCCTACAGGATTCCTCCCTCCATATCTTGTTTATAAGTTATTTCAAACATCCTTCTTTTACTGCACTCTTGCGAGGTATCAAACATGTCGATGAAACTGATGCGATGGTAGCGTTTTATTCTCCTGAATCTCAGCAAGGCTTACATGATAATTGTGTAAAGTTGGTGATATAATTATGCACATGTAAATATGCACTTGTTTGCATAAAAAGTGCATTAATATGGGTATTCTCAATTACGTGTACATGCAAGTTTTTTGTTTGTTTTTGTCCTCAATAGTGTGTATTGCTTGATTTATTGCTGCAAGATATTACAGAATTTGTTAAGTTATTTGAATTATATTTTAGTGACTTTGAAGAAATACTCTTGAAGGTGGATCAAAACAAGCCTGTTATGTTTTTACCGTTCCAATCACCTTTTGAAGTGTTTTAGTTTTAATGATTAATGTATTTCTTTACTATCTCCACCAAAGAGCCCCCCTCTCTCTTTCTCTCTCACACCCTTTCCCCCTCTCTCCCTCTCTCCCCTCTCTCCCCTCTCTACCTCTTTCTCCCTCTCCTCTTTCTTTCTCTGTCTCTCTCTTTTGGATGTGTTCACTTTGTACGTTGCATGTGCCATTGTTCTACAATTATTGTTATCCTACATGTATTTTTGTAATACGCTGCTGATTGAATGTTTAGGTTTTATCTGCATGAATCTTTTTCACTAACACGTTTGAAGTTTTCTCAATCTGGAATGCCCCCTCTCCCCTCCCCTCCTCTTACCTCACCCCCCCCCCTCTTTCCTTGCCCTCCCCTCCCCTCTCCTACTCCGTTCTTGTCTTGGTTGTGTCTTTGGTCCTCTCTGCTGTCAATCTCTAGTTACACTCTGGCAATTTTTGAAATGGAAAGCATGGTGGTTTGGTTTTAAAACTTGTTTGGTTTGTTTAAAAAGGGAAGCACGATGGTTTGGTTTTAAACCTTGATTTGGTTATGGATTGCAGTAATTCTGGTTTGTTTTCTGCCGTGATGAAACATTGTACCAGGTCATTGTACTTTTCCATACTTCATCCCTCTCTCTCTCTCTCTTTATCTCTCTCTTTATCTCTCTCTTTATCTCTCTCTTTATCTCTCTCTTTTTGTCTCTCTTTCTCTTTTCTTTTTTCTCCATTTCATTTTTTGGGGAAAATGACAGTTTCAAACCAAAATACATATTATGACATCTCAATTAGTGCTATGTACACTACATAGTGAGGTGTCATGGTTCAGTGGTTCGTTCACTGGACTCTCAATTGAGAGGGTGAGGATTCAAATCTCACCCCTGCATTACTGTCCTGGGACAAGTCATCAATTTACATTCGCCACTCTCAACCCATGTGTAGATGGTTAACAGATATTCTTCAGTGCTTGCCACTGAGCTACATGTATAACCAGTGTAATAGCTACTGGAGCACCAAGACTCGCGTTGTGATCAAGATCGACATGGTTGCTGCACTATCACAGTGAAACCTGTCTAT